ACGCTAATGCCGGCCCTCCCTCCTCGAGACGCCTTTGTTTATTGACTCTGTCAGCGCATGTGAAGTTAACCGTGTCTGGGCGTCCCGTTGGTGTCTCTAAGCGATGGGACCACTCCTGCCAGCTCTTGGCCTCCAGCCCCTTAAGGGCCATGACCCCGACTGCCTCCCCCTAACCTCACTCACTCTACGTGTCTCGGAGTCGCCATTTGGGGTCTCCGAGTTTTCCTTTGGGTCTCTGAGTGGGTGTCTTGGGGGACAGTAGTGAGAGTTTGTCGTGGGAAGTGAGAGGCGGAAGTGAGAGTGGGTGGTGAGCGCGCGAGCTGTCTTAGCGGTTGGTGAGCTTGCAATGGTGGGTGTGTTGAGAGTGCAGAGCGAGTCGTGCGCGCGAACAGTTTTTCGAGTCGGTGGTGAGGATGCATTGTGTCGTGAGCGAGCATGTATCTGTGTACGTTGAACTTCTTTTGCACCGTACGTAGCCAACCGTGCTAATCTGAAGTTTCGGGGAAGGACAACGCTAAACACAAAAAAACTGTTATAAATATATTCGATTTTAATCTAATAAATTCGTTTTCAACTTAAAGAAAATATAGGGTTTGTTTTGTTAGATAGCGTAGATAGAGCAAATTGTAAATGTGGATTATCTCTCCAACACACCGGTTAGTGCTGTACTAGTGACGACCCTTACTAGTTGGCTGTGTCGGGTGGTGGCGGGTTTAACAACACATATTTACGCGATTTAACTCCCCCAAAAAACCCTGTTATGGAGTTCTAAAGAAGTTAGTTTTCAGTATAGACTTACAAGCGTTTTCAATAAAGCATGCCGAGGTGGGAGTGGGTGGTGAGGATGCATGGATGGGTAGCAAGAATGGTTGGTGAGACAGTGGGCGTAGTGAGTGAGTGGCGGTAGCGAGTGAACTTGAGTGCCTGGCGAGCGAGAGTGACGCGATGAGCGAGAGTGGTAGATTCCTGCTGCTCTGCGTGAGCAGCGGTCCTCTAGGTTTCGGTTCCACGTTAAGCACGGATCATGTGGTGATGGGAGAGCGGCACGAGTAGAGAGAGAGAATCGGAATATCTATCAGAATCTTTGTCGACTGGTGGAATCCGATGAGACGTGTAGCTCTTTTTGACACATGTTTGGTAAATATGCGCATGGACGGAGATAGATGCACGATTAGAGAATCACTGGGAGCGAGAGAGACATGCACAGGGAGAGCAAGATAGCACGGATAGAGCCAGAGAGAGATGAACAGAGAGAGAGAGATGGCACGGGGAGAGCGAGCCAATGGGAGAGCAAGATGGCACAGGGAGAGCGAGAGAGAGAGAGCCATGGGGAGCGAGAGACCCCTTGTGGCGACGATATATCGGCGTCTGGGTCTCCGAATGACGCCGCTCGGAAGTTCATTGAGTCCGCGACGAATCTTTTATTAACACCGCCTGGAATGTTGCAACCTCCTAGTGGCTGCAGGGGTCACGTGACTAATGACCCGCAACACCAAACGAATGTGTAAAATCCCCCCGTACGATTTGGATGAATCCAGGGTGCAGATACAGCCACGTCCCATCATCAAGACTGGATAGACCGGTGGCACACAGGCATCTTGTTGGGGGGGGGGGGTTAAAGGAACCTATCTTTTATTTTTGTTTATATTTCCTCAACAGAAAGAGTCGAGTTGGAACAAACATTGCTTTTGGCGTTGTTCTCTGGACTACCGCTGTTGTTGAGACAAGGCCATAGAGGAGGCTGTCTCTGGTGTAGGCCAATCTGTTTCAAAGACATGCACACATTGTTATCCAAAGCAGTGTTTGTTTGCGTGTTTTACCACAAGCATGTCTGATTAATGCAGCATTGATGCAGGCCTTTGCAATAGGTATGCCTATTTGGCGTTTGAACAACTTAACACAGCTCCTGTGTGTTATTGCCGGAAAGGCTAAAAAGGCTTTGGTCTCTTTTTTATAATTTTGATACCGGCAACAAAAAGGGTCCCATGGGATTATCCATGGTGGGTGTTTTACGATTCACCAAAGAGTTGAAGCAATTTTTGTTTTGTTGAATCGACATGTTGGCCCTGAGTTCATGGGATAGGGAGGGGAGGAGGAGACGGGCGGGGGGGGGTGGTGGCAGTTTAATAAAAGCAATCGGCGATAATATTTACGGCCGAGGCGGTCGGGGGTTAGGTCTGCGGGTCGGTCACGTGGGCCAGCTTCGTCGGGAGAGGTTCGCGGTCCGACCGCCCTGGTTGAATCCTGCGGTTATGTAACGACCGCAACGATCATACGCGGCCCTCCGCTTCGCGCTGCAACGATCGTACGCGGGGTCCCGTGACGTCGTTTGCAACGAGAGTTATTAAAAAAACCCCTGATTGCCCTCATAATCGCTTAATTGGGATTTCGCACGCCAGCGGCCATCGTCAACGCCCTGCTCTCGAGAGCTTTTGGCAGGGACCTGTGCGGTACTCGCTCGGTTCGTCGAAGCTCGGGCTCATCGCGAAGGCGCCGCCGTACCTCGCAGGGCCGGTGCAGTCGGCCGGTTGGAGGGCGCGCACGGTTGCCGTGCGGTTAAAGCCGAGTCGAAATAGTCCGCGCATAAGTCGGTTAAGTAATCGACCGCGACACCGGCGCACACGGCGGGCGGGCCCGGCTCCTTTCCGAATTGCGCAGCGCTTGCAGACGTGCTTTCTGCGGCCGTCTGGAACGCTCTCTTTTTAGGAAGCAACTGGAGCTGTGCACTTTTAAATGATCCAGATCGAACACTCGTTTCTTTAGAACCGCTCTTTGCGTTTAGTTTGTCCTTACCCCCCGCCCCCACCTCCGATTGGCGCGGTTCGATACGTACGGTGCGAAAGACGTTCAACACACATGCACACGTCGCGGAACCCTTGGACGTGTGCCGCCTAGCCGTCGGGGTGCGTGCTGGCATTGACCAGTATTAACCGTTGGGTTCGTACTGCGGTGATCCCGCGCGGGGTTAACCAGGGCGCCCGCCAGGCTCCGAACCGTGAACCTCTTCAACAAAGTGCCCTTTTTACCGGGCTGCCACGGTCGTGGGTTGTGACATCATCGAAGGTCTAATCCTCCACCCCCCCCAGTGGGCAGCAAGATTTGCAATTGTGACATCACCGCCATCAACCACCGTTGATGATGCCCCCCCAAACCCTCATTGTCTGTCTTGTGTGGTCGGATGACTCACACGGATTCCCAGCATCGTGTGCCCTCTTGGCTCCTCAGTGATTCATTTGCCCATTAAGAGGCGCCAGGGCCGTGCTTAAATCTCTATAAATCCCCTTGAGTTAGCGGCGGCGGGCGAGGGAGGAATTGCCGACACTGCAGTGGGTTCGAGATGCTTTTCTCAGGTCTGGGCAGGCGGTGGGTGGGGGTTTGGGAGTTTGGGGGGGGGGGGGAGTGGTGGGGTGGGAGGCGGTGCCGCAGTGTGCGTAGCGCGGTTTTCGTTCCGTCGCGTTTCGTTTGTGCTCGCGTAGAGCGTGTGCGCTGTGCACGCCATGTCGAGTTATCCTGTTGTCGCGTGTGTTGTGCCTGTCTCCTGTGTGTCTTTGTCGTGCGGGTCTCGTGTGTGTGTGTCGTGTATGTGTGTGTCTCGTGTGTGTGTGTGTGTGTCTCGTGTGTGTGTGTCTCGTGTGTGTGTGTCTCGTGTGTGTGTGTCTCGTGTGTGTGTCTCGTGTGTGTGTCTCGTGTGTGTGTGTGTGTCTCGTGTATGTGTGTGTCTCGTGTGTGTGTGTGTCTCGTGTATGTGTGTTTGAATGTCGTCGTCGTCGTCTCTTCTGTTCATCGCTGCCTGAAGGGACTGCCGCACAGTTCAGTTGGTGCTGGTCAAAAACAATAATACCTGGGGACACACATGCACTTCTCTTTGAGTTGGTGGTCTAGACAAGGCTGTGTGGAGCAATGTACATGTAAATGAGGTGGTCACATGACATGCACGCAAGGCACGATGGGATGGGAGTCGTGACCTCCTGCTGATTGTGAGCCCGCACACCTTTGCTCTGTGCGTTGTGAAGCTTTGTTTCCAACCTACGCCGGTGCATTCTCTCCTTGTGAGGTGGGGTTTTTTTTGTATCATCATTTACACAAATTAGGCCGCGTAACCATCCGGCCAATTTTCCGTCAAACAGCTCCTCCCCCACCCGACGCAACGCCCTAATTACACTGTAACTAAAAATATATTTTTTTTGTTCCTGGGTAGTAAGTGTTATTTTCTAATTGCTTATGCCTCAAAAGTACATAAAATGGCTATTATTCCCCACAAACTTGGCTTTTGTAACCAGGACAGAGATATTTTGAAATTTACCTAGTTTCTTTGAGAAAACGTGTGCATTTGTCGGGAATGATAGCCATTTCCTATACTTTTGACGCATAAGCAATTAGAAAAAAAACACTACCCAGGAAAAAATCGTGTTGCATAGTGTTATCACCGTTTGGGCCTCGCCTCGCCGCCGTGGGCCGACGATTTGACAGAACGGATCCCTGAGCCCCCCCGCCCCCCCCCAAAAAGTTTGTTGGCGATTGAGAAAACCACGTCTCCTCGACGCGTCTTCCAGGGAGTCTGAACACAAAGTCCCGAAATGATCGTAATCGCGACCCGCGAGTGTTGTCGACTACAAGCTCGCGCTCAATTCACACGGGGAAATGCGCACACCCCCCCCCCCCCTCCGTTTGTGGTCGCCACTCACTCGGTGGGGCTGCGAGCCCACTCGCCTAGATGCACGGTTTTTGTGACGGAGGTTCGCGGATTTTTGTGTAAACCCCCCCCCCCCCTGTTCTTGCGGCGTGGTTTGTGCTCTGTACCGGGCTCCTATTGAAATATAACAAAAAAATGACACTGGGAGTGGCGGGATGCGGTGCCGGCCGTTCCTCTCGCGCCACCACACATCGTCCACACATCAACGAGCCCACGCGCTAACGAGCGCGACCTCGCTAACGATCACGGCCCCCCCCCTCGTCCGCCTGCGCGCCCCCCCTTTCCCCACCTCCAACCCCCCCGCCAGTGCCATTTGAGAGCTGCGGCGAGGCCGTGGAGCTGAGCGCCAACGACCGGCGCTTCACGCTGGAGGCCGATGGCAGCCTGCGTGCCGCACGGACCCTGCGCCTGTCCCGCCGGCCCCTGCACCTGACGGTGAGGGCCCGTGCCGTCGGCAGCGGCCGCACCTGGGAGAGCCCTGTCAAGCTGGTGCCGGGCAAGGCCAAGCGCCGTTCCAAGAACAAGGTGAGGACACGGGTGGGGGGGGGTTCATCATCACCATCGTCAGCCATGATCGAACCACTCCTGGATGGCGGCATTCCGAAAGCCATCGGCATCTCTCACGGGTCCTGCGCTAACTAACTGTAAACTTTTATTTATTTTAAAAAGGTAAGGCCCATTGAGCTACGTAGCTCTTTTTCAGAAGCAACCTGGCTACCGCAAATTGTAGCTCAACGGAGTGGCTTATCATCGTGCGCAAATGTAGTTTTAAACGCGTGATGTTGGTTCTAAATGTGGAGGGAAAAACCGGAGGACATGGAGAAAAATCCACGCGTCCACAGGGAGAACATGCAAACTCCAAATATACAGCAGGCATCGGGGTCGGGATTGAACCCACGCCCTCCTGTATACCAGGCGAGGTAGTTAACATCTCACCACCGTGCGATGCGACTATCGTCTGGTCACTGCACAGGAGGCTGATCTCTCTTTCTCTCTGGGTGGAATGGGTAAATAAACAAAACCGTACAACCGTAGTATGATTATTATTCCCGATGTTATCAGTGCTGCATACTTGGCTGGCACGGTGCAAGTGGCAGCTGCAGCGCTGGGTGTTAACCTTCATTGACCCCTGAAAGTGGGTGGGGGTGGGATAAGGGAGGGGAGGGGCCCGTGGGATTAAGGGACCGGCGTGACCTTGCTGATCGAGTCGCTGCAGCTGGAGGAGGAAGAGGAGGAGAAGGAGGAGAAGGGAGCGTGAGTCAGGGGGTTTGCTCTCTCACTCCCGCACTCTGGTGGGGAGCCGTGCCGATACCCCCCCCCCCCCACCCCATACTTGACCCCATACCCCCGCAGAGCAGCGGAATGAGTGCTGCTGTAGTAGAGCGCCCGAAGGGGTTGGGGGGTTGGTGGTGGGGGGGGTGTCGATGATAACAGCGCCAGCTGGAACGGGGGTGGAAGGTGAGGATCGAGCGTTGCACGCGTGAGTTGGTGGTGGGGGAGGGGTCGTGGTTTGGGGGGAGGGAGCTGCTGGCTGACAGGTTGGAGGGGGGTGCCAATCCCCCATGGATTGGGGTTTGTGTGACAGCCCTCCAAATTCCTCGTACCCCTTCGACTGCTTCCCCCCACCCCACCAACCTCCCACCTCCCACCCCCCACCCCACCAACCCCTCCAACCCCCCCACCCCAAAATTGCCAGCAGCACCTGTGGCGAGGGTGACGGTGCCACTTTGGAATCCGCGCTGGCACAATGGCTGAGTGTTCTCACCTCCGCCTGCCACCCTCACCACCGCCACCACCACCACAGCTGTTCCCCCCCTCCCATGCCCCCCCCACCCCACTCGGCCTTAATGGATCACTTCCTGCACCACGCAGCTTTGCCGCCGTGCCTAATGAGCACCAGGGGTTAATTGAGTCCACGACCTCTGACCCCCTCCTTGCCCCCCCCCCACCGTATAATTGGATTGTTTGAAGTAGGGTAGAGACGACGTGGAGGTACTGCTGCGATGTATCACACGCAAAGACGACGGATGGACATGAGCACGCCTTGTATGAGCACAGTTCCGGTGTGAGCAACGCGTCCTCGCCATTAACTTTGACGCGTACGTTTTTATTCGCAGCCACCGTTACGATTCAGAGTTTATTTTCCGGGTTTAGGCCACTCAACGATCCGGCCAAATTTGTGTCGTTAAGAACACCCCCACCACCGGACCCATGCAAATTGAATCGGCGTGGTTATAATGAGCTCATTATTCTTATTAATTTCGCCTCGAAATTGCGGATTAGAGGTCGGAGGGAAATTAAACAATTTCAAACTATATTTTTTTTATTTTACCAGGTAAGGCCCACTGGACTAGATAGCTCGTTTTCAGAAGCGTTCTGGCCACAAATTATAGCCCGATGAAGTGGTTTATCACATGGGCATTTTTACCATCAAAATACTACTCCCAAGCACACATTGATTCTAAATGTGGAGGGAAAACCTGGAAGAACCGGAGAAAAATCCACACGACCACGGGGAGAACATGCAAACTCCAAATATACAGGCATACGAGGCAAGGTAGTTAACATCTCGCCACCGTGGAGAAATGCCACCGTGGAGAAATGCGGCAATCTTCAGGTTCAAGGACCGAGGAAAATGGGAACTGTTGGCCGGTGTCGTTCACACGTGGCCCAACGTGACCAACGTTGCTTGTGAAATCCGTAACATTGACTGCGAAACCTCCCCCCCCCCCCCCCCCCCCCCACGTGGTGAAATTGGGGGTGGAGGGGGGCCTGGCTGGATTTCGAGTGGTGAGGCGTGGCAGTCGCAAAGTCGCATGAGAGAAAGTGGGCCGTGTGCGGCACCGTTTGCGGCACCGTTTGCGTCGTTCTAACGGAGTCGCCGCACTGCTGACCTTCCACCGCTTTGCCTTGCAGGGAAAGCACGGGGGGACGCCCAAGCAGGAGATGGAGGAGATGGAGCGCGAGGAGGAGGAGCACGAGGAGGCGGGCGTCGGCGCTGCGGGGGAAGAGGAGGCGGCGCACGGAGACGACGGCAGCGTGCTCATGTTCCACCAGCTGCGGCGCGGCAAGCAGCACCGGCAGAAGCGTGGCTGGGTCATCCCGGCGATCAACGTCCCCGAGAACGACCGCGGGCCCTTCCCCAAGCAGCTGGTGCAGGTAAAGGCCCTCCCCTATCCCCCCTCACTCCCTCTACCCCCCCCCTTCCCCTCCCCCCCCCCACCGGTGTTGAAGTTTTAGCACGCGCGGCACTGTCGCTGTCGTAATGGCGGTGGAGGAAAGACCACAGGGTGGTAGCGGCAGTTCGGTGGTGGTGGTGACGCTCGCACCTTGCAGCAAGAGTGTACCTGATGCCTAGATTCAACCCTCTGTTCAGCAGTGTGTGAATTTCACGCGTTGGTGAGTGTAAGAGTGAATTTGTGTGTGTGTGTCATGTGGTGTATGTGTCTTTTGGGGTTTGTGGTATATTTAGCATGCCATAGATCGGCATGTGATGTTTGTGTGTATACATGTATATATGTTGGGGGAGCGGTGGCCAGTTGGTTAGCACGCATTGCGCTCTGAACCTGGCGACGTGGGTTTGATTTCCACTGACAGCTAACACCCAGTGACAGTTATCTGAACTTGTCCTGGGCCTCCCCGAGGTCGACTTGGCCTCAAACAAGTCCCCGGTGCGATGTATAACAGTCGCCACTGGGGAGATGAAGGCGGCCGTGCGTGTTGATAACCACACACCACATCCCCTCGTGTGCCATGCCGGCCTTCATATTTGCTGCTGCTCGCTAACAGCACTAGCCCCAGCAGTCCGTTGAAGGCTATTCGGGGTATATTTGCGTACGTGTATACATGTGACGTACGAGCGTAGCTATCGTGCAGAGCGTAATGCCGCCCCCTGCCGCCTCCCGCACCCCATCTGCACCTTCCCCGTGTGCGCTCACGCTCACGCTCGCGCATGTGCTCCCACAGATCAAGTCGGACACGCACGGGGAAATCCGCTACAGCATTGTGGGGCCCGGCGCCGACCAGAACCCCATGGGGGTGTTCATCGTGGACCCCGTGACCGGGCGCCTCTCGGTCGCCAAGACCCTGGACCGTGAGCTCATCGCAGAGTATCTGGTGAGGCCAGCCCCCCTCCTCCCGCCCACCCCCACCGAGCCGTGTCTCACCCACGCGAGCACACCCACGTGTGTGTTCGCGTAGTAAGGTCCAGGCCTCTGTTGCGGAGTTTGCTCAAACTTTCTGGCCCCCGGACCACTCGGTCAATGTAAACATTTCCGTGGTGCAACCCCCCCCACCCCACCCCTGGTGACAAAAAAAACTTCTCTCTCTAAATACCAATATTACAAAATTATATTCATATTACCGGAACGTAATAAAAACATTAACGCAGCTATAACGGTTTTGTTTTTTTAGGTGGAGAATTTAGATCTCAGGGTTCGGGTAGTTTAATTGGCGTAAACATTTGCGGATCAACCTGCAATTAGCATCGCTGCCCAGCGGACCTCCAGGAGTACCGTCCCGGACCGCTGGTGGTCCAGGTACTACCCTTAGAGAACCACCGCTCTAGAGGGATGTTTGGCCAACTCTTAAACATCCAAACGTAGGCGACTACAACCACATCACCACAACAACAACAAAAAGACGCAGGGACAAGACAAAGGATCCTTTGTATAGCGTGTCGTAGACGGTTGATGCAAGTGCTGTTAGCGAGCACCACATGAAGTCTAACATTGTGCACGACGGGGTGGGTGGCCAGCAACCACGCTTTTGTTTCCAGAGTGGTGATGTTTACACAGCGAGATCCAGGGGCAGCCAGGGCAGTCGGGGGCAACACCAATGACAATGGGACCCAGGGGCAGCCAGGGCAGTCGGGGGCAGCACCAATGACAATGGGACCCAGGGGCAGCCAGGACAGCAGCAATGGCGATGAGAACCAGGACACCTAACAACTACCAGTCCCCACGCGCTTTCTCGCATCCCCGCGTGTATCGCATGTGCGTGCGTTGCGTGTAACGCGCGCGTGCGTTGCGTGTGCGTTGCGTGCCCGCTGCAGCTCAAGGGCCACGCGGTGGACATGAACGGGCGTCCGGTGGAGAGCCCCGTGGACCTCGTCATCAACGTCATCGACATGAACGACAACCGGCCCGAGTTCGCCACGCCCGTTTTCCAGGGCTCCGTGGCTGAGGGCTCCCCACCAGGTGCGGTGTACGGACGCATACAGACGGGCGTGGTGGTGACGGTGGTGACGGTGGTGACGGTGGTGACGGTGGTGACGGTGGTGACGGTGGTGACGGTGGTGACGGTGGTGATGGGTGTGTGATAGTGATAGAGGTAGTGATGGGGGTGGCGACAGTGGTGGTGGTGATGAAGGTGGTGGTGGCAGTGGGGATATTGGTGGTGAATGTGGTAGAGGTGGCAATAGGCATGGTGGTGATGTTGGTAAAGAAGGTGATGGTGGTGTTGGTGGTGCTGATTGATAACAATGGTAATGATGTTTATGATTTAACAAATGAAAGCTGGTTTAATTCATTATGATTGTGATGAAATTATTTATAATATCCTTGATGTGGATGTTGATGATAACGACGACGATGGTGAGAATGACAAGAATGGTGGTGGTTGTGATGCGAACGAATATAATCTTTATATTCTTGGATCGTTTGGTAAAGTCACGTAGATAGGTTCAAAGAAAATAACAACCTATCTACGCCACTTTTTTTCTCTCCACCTGAAGAAAACCGCGTGTGTTGCGATCGAAACGTCGTTGGTTTTTTGCTTTAAATTTAGATTTTTGTTTCCTATCTACATGACTTGACCGAAAGACCCAAGAATATGAATTACTGCAGTCACAAAAGCTTCAAATCAAGACTATAATGTTCGTTCTTGATAGTAACGATGTCCACGCCTCCGGTCCCTCCCCTGCCCTCCCTGCCCTCCCTCCCTGCCCTCCCTGCCCTCCTCCCTCCCTGCCCTCCCTCCCCCGGCAGGCACGCCGGTGATGACGGTCACGGCGAGCGACAAGGACGACGCCTTATCGGCCAACGGCATGATTCGCTACAAGATCATGTCGCAGGTTCCCAAGATGCCCTTCGACCACATGTTCACCATCAACAACGCCACGGGCGTCATCAGCACCATTGCCGCCGGGCTGGACCGCGAGGTGCGTTATCACGCGGCAACCGCCGCCGATTGGCTGATGTCGGTCCAGGGGGGGTGGTGGCTAATCTCTGGGGTTGTGTGTACCGTTACATTTTGCGTTTTCAGTTGTGTATGTATGCACGTTGAACGTCTGTCGCGCACCGTACGCAGGTACGAGGGAAGGACAACAGGCTAAGCACCAAAAGCAGTTGTAAAAAACGAGTTTTCATTCTATATTTCAAAGTGCATAGCTCCAGTGGCTTCCGAATATTGTGTGTCTCGGAAGCGACAGTGTCGCGGCTAGCGCATTGCGCTACGAACCCGGGGACCTTAGTTCGATTCCCGCTCATGGTCCAACACCAGTGACCGTCGACTCGCCCTCAAATGAGTACCTGCTGCAGTGTGAAACCATCTTCACTAGGGAGACAAAGGCGGCCAGGCGTGATGCAGGTCACCCACCTCCTCGTGTGGCGTGCCCGCCTTCCATAGTTGCTGCTCGCTTTACAGCACTTGCCCCAAAGGTCTGTTGAGGCTACACGGGGAATATTTGTCCTCGTTCTTTATCTTTAAAGGGTGTGTCTGTGTTGCCCGTGTGTAGAGGACGCCGCAGTACATGCTGGTGGTGCAGGCCTCGGACATGGAGGGTGACCCGAACATCGGCCTCACGAACACGGCCACCGCCATCGTCACCATCACCGACAAGAACGACAATGCCCCCGAGTTTACGGGCAGAACCGTACGCACTGCCGCCACCACACTCACCGCACATGGTCCGTAGACTAACATTGCATGTAGATTTAAATTGCACGTAGGGGCAAATGGCCCATAGGCTTACATTGCCTCTAGAATTAACATTCGCCAATGACTAACATTTCCCGGTTGGCAAGATGTTAACTTCCTTGTGTGGTATGCGGAAGGTCGTGGGTTTGATCCTGACCCTGATGCCTGTATATTTGGAATTTGCATGTTCTCCCCGTGGTGGTCGTGTGGATTTTATTTTTTCCGGGTCTTGCGGGCTTTCCCTCCACACTTAGAATTTAATGTGCGTTCAGAGCTGTTGTATACATTTCCACGTGATGATGAGCCACTTCGTTGAGCTACCATTTTTTGGCTAGGTTGCTGCTAAAAACAGAGATAATAGCTCCGTGTGGGGCCTTACCTGGTAAAATAATTTGTTTTTTTAAAATATATTTGAGACGGGCGGAACAATGATCTGATGACGTCGCCCCCCCCCACCCCCTTGCCGCCCCCCCACCGTCTCCGCCCCGCCACAGTTCAGCGGCACGGCGCGCGAGAACGCGGTGAACGTGACGGTGACGACGCTGACGGTGACGGACATGGACGAGCCCGGCACGCCGGCGTGGCGCACCCGCTACGTCATCCGTGGCGGGGACCCCGGCAAGAACTTCGCCGTGGAGACCGACCCCCGCACCAACGACGGCAGGCTCTACGTCGTCAAGGTTGGGGGGGGGATGGTGATGGTGGGAGGAGGGGGAGGGCGGTGGGAGGGGTCTGTCACGCACCGCCACGGCGGAGACGGTGATGGTGGTTGGGTAGTGATAGTGGTGGTGATGATGAGGTCGTGGTGGTGGTAGTGGTAGTGATGACGATGGTCATGGTGACGGGGTTAACGTAGGTGATGATGATGGGGTAACGTAGGTGATGATGATGGGGTAGTGGTGGTGGTGATAATGGGGTGGTAATGGGGCTGTGGTGATGGTGCTGATTATAGAGTAATGGTGCTGATGATGGGGGTAGTTGATGGTAATGGTCGTGGTGGCGGGGAGGGTGATGCGGTGATAATGGTAATGGGAGTGGCGTCGCGATGTTGTTGATTGGGTGGTGATGGGGGGAGAGGTGGCGTGATGGTGGTGATGCGATGATAGGGTAGTGATGGTGAAGGGAGGTTGACATGACAATGGTGGTGATGGTCGCGTGATGATAGTGATGGAGGTGGCAAGGCGAAGTTCGTGGTGATGTTGCCGATGGGTGACGGCGGTTATGACGTGGGGATGGTGGTGATGATGAGGGTGGCTATCATGTGACAGGCGTCGGTGGTGACTGTGCAGCAATCGTGGCGATGTTGGCGATGACGCAGCGTTTGATTGGTGGAGGGTAACGTTTGTGTGGTGTGTGTGTACGCCGCAGCCCCTGGACTTTGAGAACTCGTCGAAATACAACCTCGTCATCGCTGCGGAGAACGAGGTGTCGCTCGAGAGCGCTCAGTTCGGACCGGCAAGCACTGCGACCGTCACCGTGAGTGCCCCCCGCGGCCCCCCACTGCCCCCCGCGGCTTCCCGTGGCCCCCCACAGGTTTCGCCTTACAGCTTCCTTTGCCACTTGCGGCCCAGATTTTTAGTCCACGCATCAGCGCAGAAACTGATACCACCTCAAACAGCGATAACTTTAGTCGTGCCCATTTATTATTTATAATTTCCTCAGCCAATGAGAATGAATTACTTAAACACCCCACTTATTTTATTATTTCAAGTCCAGTAGACCTCTTATTCACAGGTGTCTCCTGGACATCTGTGAAAAAGAGCTTTATAGCTCATCGGATTCCTCCAGTATAAATAAATATTCCGATTCTGAAGTGGTCCTGTTGTGTGATTCTGTGTCGGAATGTATGTCGTGTGTGTGTTTCTGTGTGTCCCTGTCGATAGGCGTTCACAGGTGCTCGCTCGCTAACAGCACTTGCTTCTACAGTTTGTTAAGCCTATACGGGGTTATCTTTGTCTTTGTATGTGTGCCCGAGTGTTTTTGGACACGTTCCCATCAGTGAGCTCTTCTGCGTTGGCTGGGTCATGTTGCCCGTGTGCCCTGCCACCGCATACCTACACAGCTTCCGATTGGCCAGACAGAGGGGGCTTAAACGGGCACGGCACGGGCTGGAGAATTGATGAACTGATGCAATAGAGGAGGATTTGGAGCTGAGTGGACCGGTACCAGCGGTGTCAAGATCGTCCTCAGTGGAGGACGCTCGTGAACCACACTACAGGGCAGTTTTGGAGGCAGTCACTGTTTAGTAAAAGCATAGGGCAAGGAGTGACGCTCACAATAACGAGTGGATCACTGGGTAGCTAAAATACAGCAATGTGGCACAGTGGAGAGGACAGATAGTGCATCTGCCAGTCATCCCAGTAAGCCAACCCATGGCACCTGGGTCTGTCCCGTGACCTCCTGCCAGTGAGCCTTCAACACTTAACTTGGCCGTAAAGTGCACTTAGCCTGGCACAGGCGCTGTGGTGACGTCACCACTACTTAGTGGCGAATGGCGGCTGTTGTTGCTTTTGTGTGTCCGTGTGTGTCTGTATGCCCCTGTGTTTATGCCCGAGTGTACTTTTCTGCGTGTCTATCTCTTTGTAAAATGAAATATTTCATCCGGATAATCCCTTAAGATGTAAGCATCCCATGTGCACGGGTGGTTCAGCGAGTGAACACACGTGTGTGCCCGGTAGTGCAGCGGTTAGCGCGCTCCGCTACTTACCTGGGGAAGCGAGTTTTATTCCCGTTCACGGCCACCAACACCAGTGATGATTATCGGAACCGGTCCTGGGCCTCCCCCGAGGTCATCTCAGCCCGAAATGAGTACCTGGTGCGGTGTGTGAACATTGCCACCGGGGAGACCACGGTCGGCCGGGTGTGGTGCCGGCCACCCGCCCCCTCGTGCGCCATGCCAGCCTTCACAGGTGCTGCTCGCTCACAGCACTTGTCACCAAGTCTGTCAAGGCGACACGGGGGGACCTTTGTTTTTGAAGCACAGTGCTGGTGATGGCCACACCACCTCCTCCCGCACGACCGCCCACACCGTGCCCCCCCCCTCCCTCACCTTAACAGGTGCTCGCTAACAGCCCCCCCCTCCGCCCGGTAGGTGACGGTGGAAGACGAGAACGAGGGGCCGGTGTTCGAGCCGCTGCGGCGCGAGGTGAAGCTCGCCGAGGGCCTCCCCGTGGGCCAGCACGTGACCAACATGGTGGCGCGTGACCCCGACATCGCGCAGAGGCAGACCGTGCGGTGAGGCCTTCCCAGCCACCCTCCCGTCCGCGCCCGTCGCCGCCCGGCCAGCCAACCCTTCCTCCCACCCTCTGTGTGTGTGTGTGTGTGCGCGCACCTCACCTGTGTGTGACTCACTCTGTTCGGCTGTGTGACACTTAGCTGTGTGATCGCCTGCATGAACTCTGTTCATATGTGCGAGACTCACCTGTGTGACTCACCTCTGTGCACCTGTGCGAGACTCACCTCTGTGTGTGACTCATCTTTGTTCACCTGTGCGAGACTCACCTCTGTGTGTGACTCATCTTTGTTCACCTGTGCGAGACTAACCTCTGTGTGTGACTCATCTCTGTGCACCTGTGCGACACTAACCTCTGTGTTTGACTCATCTCTGTTCACCTGTGCAAGACTCACCTGTGCATGTGTGACTCGCCTCTGTACACCTGTGCGAGCCTCACCTGTGCGTGTGTGTCTGCGTGCTGGGGCCGCGTGCAGCTACAAGAAGCTTTCTGTGCCGGGCGACTGGCTGGACATCGACCCCGTGAGCGGCAAGGTGACCACGGCCGTGGTGCTGGACCGCGAGGCGGCCCTGGTGCAGGCCAACACCTACACGGCCACCTTCCTGGCCACGGATGACGGTGAGGGCCGCCCCTCCCTGACACTCTCCCCCCACGCTGCCCCCCTGTTAATGGACACGCCCCAGCCACACACCACAACAACACATTCGCTCGGTTATTCACTCATTCGTCATCACACCCTACTGACTCACCATCACTCGCTCGCCATCACTCGCTCACCATCACTCGCTCACCATCACTCGCTTGCCATCACTCGCTCACTCACTCGCCATCACTCACCATGACTCGCTCGCTCACTCACCATCACTCGCTCACTCACCATCACTCACTCGCTCACTTGCCATCACTCGATCACTCACTTGCTCGCTCACTCGCCAATCACTCGCTGGCTCACCATCACGCCGCGCTCACTCCTTGGCGTGGTTGGCTATTTTTTAAAGGCGCAATTCACAAAATTCTTGAGTTGGTTCGTCTTTTAGGTAGACTCAGCCTTAAAATGCATACCCGGTCCGCGTCTGGAGCGGTGATGGAAGGGTCGGCGCACTGCACTACAGCCCGAGTTCGATTCCCGCTCATGGCCAACATCCTTTGGTTGACTCGGCCTCAAACGAGAGTACCCGGTGCCGTGTGTGTGTGTGTGTAAACACCGCCACTGGGGAGACAAAGGCGGCCGGGTGTGGCAAACTGGCCACCCAACCCCCCCCCCCCTCCCCATCGTGTGCCGGCCTTCACAGGTGCCGCTCGCTTATACGACAGCGCTTGCCCCAACGGTTTGTAGAAGGCTAACGAGTGGTGGGGGCGCGCGGGGATCTTCATTCTTGTCTTTGCGTGCCGGTGAGAGCAGGCAGCCCCGTGGCGAGCGGCACGGGGACGCTGGTGCTGCTGCTGTCGGACGTCAACGACAACGCCCCCATTGTGTGGCCCGACGAGGCCACGGTGTGCGACGTGCGGGGCGGCACCGTCAACGTCACCGCCAGGGACGCCGACGAGGACTTCAACGGCAGTCCCTTCAGCTTCCAGCTGCCGCCCGGCAACCCCGACCCCAACAACAACTGGACCATCCACCGGGTCGACGGTGCGTGGGGACCCCCTGCCCCCCCCCCCCCCCCCCGTTGCCCGTGCTGCCCTTGCACTGCACCGCACCACCCGCACTACCACGTCCGGCTGTGGGGACAGCAAATCGCACTCGCTCGCAATCACGCCGCACTCACTCGCTATCACTCGCTCACCATTACTGGCTCTCCATCACGCAGCACTCACACGCTCGCCATCACTCCTGCGCTTGCACTGCCCCCTACCCTGACTCCCTGTGCCCCCACCTTACTGTTGTCCTGTGTTGTCAGCAGAGGGCAGCGCAGCAATACCCAATGGCCTACTCAAGGATTGCTTCACATCTCGCCAAATATATATCTTTTTCTCGTGAACCCACTGAGCGTGGGGGTGGCACGCGACTGAGCAGTCGCGAGCCACAGCCATGGCCAGTGGTATACTGGATGTGGTGTGCCGGGTAATGGAAATATTTTCCGGGCTTGCCGAACCAGACGGATCTCCGTTCCCCCTCTCCCCCCAGCTTGAGCCATAAGACCGAGTTGCCAAATCCTGCCAGATTGATCGATGAAATAGAGCAGCGTGCAGCATTGCACGCGCGAAAGCCCGTCATCCTTGCCCAGACCACCAGTCCCAAATAACTGAACGCGTGGTCCGTTTTTGTCGATCTGTACCTCATGACTCGTTGACGAGAGTTGAGAAAATGTGGCCACCCCGACTGTTTGGAGCCGGCGGCGGTTTCCGAATGAGCAGGTGGGCTGGGCAAGGCCCGAGAGCCACTGGAGCACGCGGCACCGCCGTGCACCCCCCCCCCCCCCCCCCCACGGCGCGCGTGTTGTCAACTCTTGTTTCCAGGAATTCTTATGCCGCCACGGGTTTTTGCCGTCACGCGCACACTTCCCACCCTTGGCCGTATCGCGGGAACATTTTTCCGCTCTACGCTCACCGCTCGCTCGCACCGCGCTCTGCTCCCTTACCCCCCCCTCGCCCCTCCCCTCCCGGCCGGCCTCCAGGCAGCAGCTCTCAGCTGCGCATGAAGGTGGCGCTGCCGGAGGGCCTGTACTTTGTGCCGCTGCTCATCTCGGACTCGGGCAACCCGGCGATGAGCGCCGTGTCGGAGCTCGAGGTGAAGGTGTGCGCCTGCGATCAGCACGGCGACTGCGTCAACCGCGCCGCCATCGCCGCCGCGGGACTCGGCACCGGCGCCATTGTGGCCATCCTCCTCTGCCTGCTGCTGCTTCTCAGTGAGTTCGTCGTCGTCGAAGCTGTTGGCATCGTCGGGGGGGGGGGGGGGTGGGGGGGGGGGGACCCGGTGCTGTGGACGTGGCCCCCGGCATGGGGATTAGTGTGGCGCGATCGCCGTTGGTTTGCGGAGGCTTTTGCGGTTTAACCGGGGTGGGCCGCCCCGGTTAAACGCGGCGGCCGCGCGTGTTAACCGTAAATAATAAATGCACCGAAGCGCGCCGCCCCGTTTAACTGGCAGCGGCAGTAGCGGCACGCTGGAGGGGCCGCGAGGTCGGTCGCAGCGAGGAGGGGGAGGACGCTGCCTGCCGGCGTTGCCGTGGTCCACATTTGCCAAGCGTGAAAATGATTCCGCAAATGACCCCCGCTCTGACCCGTGACCCCTGCTCTGACCCGTGACCCCCCCGCCCCGCCCCCGTGTCTCCCCGGCGTGTAGTCCTGGTGCTGCTCTTCGTCGTGTACAAGAGGCGCCGCGACAAGGACCGCGTCGCCAAGCAGCTGCTCATCGACCCCGAGGACGACGTGCGCGACAACATCCTCAAGTACGACGAGGAGGGCGGGGGAGAGGAGGACCAGGTGAGAGGCGTGGGCCACGCTCCCCGACACAGCGCACCGCCAGCGCACCGCCACCGGTGCGCTGCGCTTGCACGTCGGCGCGGTGCGTTTACGCGGTGCGGCGTGCCTGGTGCGCCGGTGCGGCGAGACCGCGGCACGGTGAGTTGATGGTGCGGAGAGGCGGTGGCGCAGTGGCGCGGGTTGGGACGGTGGTGCGGTTTGACTGTCCGGTGAGAGACTGTCTGGCGGCAGTGCCTGCGTGTCCACGCGCCGGTGCGGTGAGACGGTGGCGCGGTGAGCCGGCGTGACGGCGCGGTGCGTCTGCGCGTCTCCCCGCGCGCGCCGCAGGACTACGACCCGTCGCAGCTGCAGCACATGAGCGAGCTGCTGCCGCTGGAGGCGCCGTACGGCAAGGGCCCCGGCGTGCGCCGTCTGGACGAGCGGCCGTCGGTGGCCGAGCCGTGCTACCCGTCGCGCTCGGGGGCGCCGCACCCCAGCGACATCGGCGACTTCATCAACGAGGTGGGTGGTAACGGGCGGGTGGGGGGGGGGGAGATGTGGCAAACGTCGCACGCACGTAGGGGATGGAACCGCACACGACCGAAGCCAGCACCGACACGTAAACCACCACTCCGCCACCGCCACGTCAAACGATGCACACAGCACAAGACAAAGGTCCCATCCCCCCCAGTCTCGGCTTTAACAAACTGTTGGAGGCAAGTGCCGTTCGCGAGGAGCAGCGCCTACGAATGCCGGCACAGCACACGAAGGAGGGTGGGCGGCCAGCACCATGCCCGCTGGCCGTCTTTGTCTCCCCCCAGTGGCGATGTTGACACACTGCACCCGGGACTTATTTGAGGCGGAGTCGAGCTAGGGGGGAGGCCCAGGACCGGTTCAAATAATCGTCACTGGTGTTGGCCGTGAGCGGGAATCCAACTCGGGTCGCCGGGTTCGTAGCGCCTCAAATTAGCACAGTTGGCTACGTACGGTGCCATAGAAGTTCTACATATACGCATACGTAGTGCAGCGCAGCGCACTGACCATTACACCACCGCTCCACCACACAGTGCACAGCGTATAGATGATGATGTCATCTTAATTGTGGATGATCTCGTTGTTGGCGATGTAATTGCTGATCTTGTTGATGCCATGGCCACCTTTTGTCATTGCGACTTACGTCATCGTCATCATTGTCGTCATCGGCTGTTGATGTTAATGACGTCATCATCGGTGCCGATGTCGGTATCACTGCTGATGCCGTCACAAACATCATCATTGTCATCGTCATTGGCTGTCGATGTTGATGACGTCATCGTCGGAGCCGATGTCGGTATCGTTGCTGATGCCGGTATCGTTGCTGATGCTGTCGCAAACATCGTCATTGTCATCGTCATTGGCTGTCGATGTTGATGACGTCATCGTCGGTGCCGATGTCGGTATCGTTGCTGATGCCGTCGCAAACATCATCATTGTCATCGTCGTTGGCTGTCGATGTTGATGACGCCATCGTCGGTGCCTATGTCGGTATCGTTGCCGACGTCATTAACGTCGTCGTTTGTCTCCCGCGTGGTGGTGGGGGTCGGGCTTCCAGGGCCTGCGCACGGCCGACAACGACGCGACGGCACCGCCCTACGACTCGCTGCTCGTGTTCGACTACGAGGGCGCCGGCTCGGTGGCCGGCTCGCTCAGCTCGCTCAACTCGTCGAGCACGGGGGGCGGCGGCGACCACGACTACGACTATCTCAACTCGTGGGGGCCGCGCTTCCGCAAGCTCGCCGACATGTACGGCGGCGGCTATGACGACTGAGACCCCCCCCCCCCTCCCCACCCTGCCCCCCACCAACACCACCTCCTCTCGACCCCACTCTCTCCTCGTTGTCATCCCCCCCCCCGCCACACCTACCAGCCTTGCCTACCCCAGCGCCGCCCACCCAGCTTCCCTGTCCAGCCTTGGAAACAAACCAACACAATGCCCCGTGACCGGCCGCCCACCGCACCGCCACCAGCTCCATCGCCGATCCGCCAGTCAGCCCGCCTGCCCGCTGGCGGCAATTCTAATTTTGGAGGCCACGACTTTTTTTCTTCTTTCGGTGGGGGGGAGGTATAATCCGAGAGGAGGACGAGGCGACGGTACGTGTAACGACTTCGTGGTACGAGGGCGACGCGGCGATGGTCGTCCCCCCCCACCCCTCCCCCTGGGGGTGCCCGGCCAGGGGAAATCTGCGTCGGTTCACGACGTCGGGGGGAGGGGGGGGGGAGTGGGCGTGCTTGCGGCGACGCGATTCCAGATCTCCAGGTACGGATGAAGCCGATCCTGCGTCGCGTTTACGATGTGCTTAGAAATTCACGGACAGCTTATTCGAAAGTCGGCGTCGCGACCTTGGACGAGAGGTTCCTTATCGACGAATTGGCGATGCCGAACGTTGGTTTGAGACGAAACCGGGCCGGCCTGCCCACCCGCAAGTTAAACCGCAAAAACCATGGTCGCCAGTTAAAAAGGGTGAGTAGGGCCGGGTGAGTGGGGGGGGGGGGCCGGGGGGGGGGCGAGCGATTTCAAGCGAGCACCGTCGCTAACACTCCAGTTGGTACGTCGGAGCGACTCCCCCAAGCGACGGTGCCCGTGGGTTCCCAGGTGACCCCCACCCCCCCAACTCTAATCATAGTTAAGTCCCCCCCCCCCCCCTGTACTCCACGACTCCAGCCTCATAAACCATCGTCGGCTGAGACGATGACATCTCATCCCAAATTCCCCCCCTCCCGCCAACCCCCTCCCCTCTTGACCTCTTCCACTCCCCTCCCCTCTTACCCCACCCGCTGCCAGTTTAGTGGCAGACTCCGGTCACCACAAGCGGTGGATCGAAAATGAGTTAGGATTTTTTTTATTGGGCCGTACCACATCCCACCCATAAAAGGGGGGTGGGTCGGGAAAGGGTTAGGGTCGTGCCACTTTTAAGAGAGATGGGATCGGGCTGTACCAACCAATCACTTCACCCAGGGATGGGGGGGGGGCTCAACCGTGAGTGGTTGCCAGCAGGGGGTGATGTGCAAGTTGCACTACGCAACCCCCTGCGTTTTGAATGGTACGACCAATCACTTTTAGGCGGTGGGGGGGTGGGGGCCGCGAGCAATGCGGCCCCCCCCGCCCCGTTTTCCGCGCTGTAAGCTTTATAATAAATTAGCGTTAATTAAACACACTTAAGAAAAATAAGGTGAGAGCGAGAGGGAAAGAAAATACAAAAAAAATATTGAAAAAAAAAACAATGTTGATTTGAGCTTGGCTTCGGTAGCTGTTAACTCGACAAGTACAAATTAATTTAAGTGCCTTTTTGGGTTCAGCATTGAGCGCCGGCGCAGCACAGCAGCCGTGCCAGGGGGCATGGGGGGGGGGGTAGCTGGCCGTGGCAGCAACCGCGCCCCGCGGAGACGGAACCGAGTGCGGTTACAGAACCAGGCGGAACCGCACGGTGACGTAGCCGCCACGGTGATGTACCCGCGGCGACGTAAAACCATGGTGATGGAGCCGCGCGTGGCGACGTAAACCACGGTGACGGGGTAACCACGGTGACGGGAGCCACGCGCCGACACCGATTGGACCGTGGTGCTATAGACCCTCGCATCGTAATGGAACCACACTTGGTGACGGAACCGCTCTCGCGGTTACACAACCACCACCCCCTCCTATCGAGACTCGCAGAGCTCCAACCAGCGCCATGCGCAGCGCACGATTGAGTGGGTGCATGCGTGCGAGTGAGTGCATGAGAACGAGTGGGTGCATGCGTGCGTGCGAACGAGTGAGCCGAGTGTGCGTGTGTTGCATCGGCGTGCGAGAACCTTTACGTGTGGGTGCGCGTGTATTTGCGGCGAGTGGGAGCTCGACGAACCGTGCAAAGACCCGAGTTTGGATTTCCGCTCACGGCCAACACCAGCGGGAGGATATCTGAACCGGTACTAGAACTCCCCTAGGTCGACTCGGCTTCATGAGTAACCGCTGCGACATGTTAAACATCGCCACTCGGGGTACAAAGGCGTGGATCCGGCCACCCACCCTTTTTCGGGTGCCGTGCCGCCCTTAATGGGTGCTCGCTAACATCCCTTGCCCCAACTGTCCGTTTAGGCTGTAGGGGGGGATCTTTGTCCATTAATCTGTGTGCGTGTGGGTAAGCTTGGGTGTGCGTGTGGGTAAGCTTGGGTGTGCGAGTGTTTACGTTAATGTGAGTGCTGAGGCGCGTGTGTGTGCGTGTGCGAGTGTTTACGTTAATGTGAGTGTGCTAGAGGCGTGTGCGCGTAAGAGCTCGTGTTTGTGTGTGCGCGGGGTTGTACGAGTGCGTCTGTACATGAGAGTACGTGGGGAGCGGTAGTGCAGCGGTTAGCGCGCTGCGCTACGAACCCCTGGCCACCTGAGTTCGATTCCTGCTCACGGTTATCTGAACCGGTCATGGGCCTCCCCCAGGTCGACTCAGCCTCAAATGAGTACCTGGTGCGATGTGTAAAAACATCGCCACTAGGGAGACAAAGGCGGTCGGGCGTGGTGTTGGCCACCCCACTCCCTCTTGTGCCGTGCCGGCCTTAATAGGTGCTCGCTCACAGCACTTGCCCCAACAGTCTGATAAGGTTATACGGGGGGGGGGGGTCTTTGTGTATGTGTGTTTGAGAGCACGTGTGAGCGCGTGTGTGTGTGCCTGTGAGTGTGTGTGCCTGTGAGTGTGTGTGCCTGTGAGTGTGTGTGAGCGTGCGAGAGGCGTCTACTGTAACGCGAGCGCCGTCTCCCCGCGCCGCATCTCGCCTGCCTCCCGCGGGCGAGCGTCTCGGTGCTCCGGTTACCCCGGCAACCAGGTGGACCGGGTTGCCCGGCAACTGACACGGTTGCCCTGGCAACATTTACAGTTTCCTGGCAACCAAATTCAACAGTTGCCTGGCAGTCGGGTGCGTGCAGTCGCTCACAGTAGTTTGATTTTATTGATGATTTCTTTTTTAGTTTGTAGGTTTTTTTAATTATTATAAAAGTGTTTTGAGTGTTGTAGTCTTCTTGTGTTTCCCCTCTTGTGTTCTTTTAGTGCAGCCGCTCCCCCCGCCCCCCCCCCCCCCCACCGCGTAATGGGGGGCAGGGGAGGGGGGGGCAAGGTGGGGAGAGAGAGGAGAGGGGGGGGGCGGCCCTTGTGTCAACTGCAATAAGAGGCGGCTTTTTTGTAAAGGTGTGCGCAGGTGTGTACACGTGTGTACAGTTACGCGATTCACCCCTAACGGTTTTACAATAAAAACGATGACCCCCCGTTCCCTAACGCCAACGCCTCCGCCGTGTGGTCACTCGCTCGCTGCACCCCACCAAAGATAAAGGTCCCCCGTATAGCCTGTAACAGACTTGAGACAAGTGCTGTTTGGGAGTAGCACCTATAAAGGCCAGCACGATGGGGGTGGGTGGCCAGCACCACGCCCTCCTGGCCGCCTTTGTCTCCCCAGTGGCGATGCTAACGCACCGCACCAGGTATTCATTTGAGGCCGGGTCGACCTAGGGGAGGTCCAGAACCGGTTCAGATAATCGTCACCGGTGTTGGCCGTGAGCGGGAGTGGAACTCGGGTCACCGGGTTCATAGTGCAGCGTAGCGCTGACCGCTGCACCGGGTACACGCGCACTCATGCACGTGTGTACATATGTTGGTATTTTTTTGCACCGTACGTGTGCGTTTGTGTGTGTGTGTACGCACCGTGTGGAAAGTGTTTTGTGTGTACAGGGACTCCTCTAGAAATATTCGACTTACGAACTTTCAGAGACACGAACACACCTGGTCCGTTATGTCCAATTGCCTGTTTGGACCGAGCGTCCTAAGTTCAACCGCCATGCAAATAGATGTCGGTGGTGGCATCTACATCTGCAGAATATGAAGAACCAGTGGCATCTACATCTTCAGGACATGAAGAACCAGTGGCATCTACATCTGCAGGACATGAACCAGTGGCCTCTACATCTGCAGAACATGAACCAGTGGCATCAACAGGAAATTATACAACTTTTTAAACCATTCCCTGTGTTTAGTGTACATGCCGTACAACATGTTTGGAATCGACAGGAGTAAAGTTGGGACTTAAGAATAAATCGACTTAGGAACAGAGCTTTGGAACCTCTTTCGAAAGTCGAGGGGAGTCCCTGTACACCATTTTTGTGGGTTATCAGGGTGCAGCGGTTGGTGCGCTGCGCTCCGAACCTGGCAACCCGAGTTCGATTCCCGCTCACGGCCAATACCAGTGACTTATTTGAACCGGTGCTGGGCCTCCCCTGGGTCGACTCGGTCTCAAATGAGTGCCTGGTGCGCTGTGATAGTAAACATCGCCACTGGGGAGAAAAAGGCGCGGTGCAGGCCACCAGGCCCCTCGTGTGTCGTGCCCAAATAAGTATTGAGGCTACATGGGAGTTCTTTGAGTGTGTGTGTGTGTGTCCCTGAGAACGTTATCAATCACTGCACCCCATCAACTCGAATAATAGGGTGGTCGGACACAGTTACTGGAGCCGCTGTGCTGACTTGAAACATTTGGACTGGCCTGCCTATGCTTCATGCTGGGTGTAAGCAGATTGGATTGTGAGGCAAGGCCGTAGCCATGGAGTCAGCATTGGGGTGAACCAAATCTTCCAGGGGTCTGGGGGTCCCCCCCCCCCCCAGAAAAAAATCTAAATTTTAAAACTCATCTCCTGCCATTTCCTGCCTAAAATATTAAAAAGTTCACTTTACACATAGGATGGACTTTTTATTAATTTTTTACAATGTCTAATAGTGTATTTTATTACATTGCTCTGTTTTTTCTATTTTACCTTGCCTTGTTTCATTGTATGTAATGGTAGAGATTAGGGATTAATAAAGTACAACCATAATCACAATCATAAACAAAATCTATTTTATAGCAATATATTGGGGGGGGGGCATTTTGAGCATATTTGAATATTGGGGGGATGTGTTCCCCGCCCCCCCCCCCAATATATATTATAAATACGACCTTGGTATGAGGAGCTCTCAAATCCTGGAAATAACTAGACATTGTCCCATCGGTGAGCTCCTGCGGTAGGCGAGGCTGCATTGGCTGGGTCACGTCTCCGCATGCCCGACCACCGCATGCCCGACCACCGCATGCCCGACCACCGCATGCCCAAGCATATTCTGTTTGGCCGGATAGAGGGGGCTAACACGGGTGCACCACGGGCTGGAGAAGAGGTGGAGCTGATGCCGTACAGGAGGACGTGGAGCCGAGTGGACTTGCTGTTGACTGATACCAGCGGTGTCAAGATCGGCCTCTGGAGGAGGGGGCTCGTGATGAATGCTCCTGGGCAGTTGGAGGCAGTCGCCCTCCCAAGCAACAACGAAGGGCAATGAGCGGAGCGCTGGGCGGCTAAAAACCATCGATGTCTGCTTTTATTTTTTATTGTATTTAGTTTGCGCTCCTTCCCCTTGCACCTCTGATTAGCACGGATGGCTACGTACGGTGTGAAAGAAGTTCAACACGTACAATTTGCCAGGGTTGGGGAGCACACAGGTGGTGAATCTGCCAGTTATCTCAGTCGGTCATCCCATGGCACCTCGGCCTGTGGCGTGACCTCCTGCCGGCAGCGGGAGCCTTGGAACGCTTCCCACGGAATGCAGAGTGCACCTAGCCTGGCACAAACGCAGGAGGCCATTGCGCAAGTCCAGCTCGTCTGTGCTCTCTCCGTAGTCGACCACGCAACCCCCAGATCTCTGGCCACCGACCTCGCGGCTTTTTTTGTTGTTCAATTTCTGCCCGGTTACGCGCGGCGGCATTGCGACAGCGACGCCCGTTGTTGGCTCTGCAGGGTACGACCACGACACCACCGATGTGATGAATTGCCTCTAGCAGGCGCTGACGAATAGCTTTGGCCGGCGATGATTGCTTGCGCGAGCGGCTCGTGTCTGGCCGAAGGTGACTGAGACGGAATGGAAGTCGAGCAGACGCGCGCTGGCGTCGTCGTGACGCGTCCCACGGAGAATTGATGGGGAGAGGGGGAGAGGGGGAGAGGGGGAGGGGCAGGGAGATGGGGGGGACGGGGAGAGTGGGGGTATGGGGGGGGGGAGACGTTGGCGAGAGGGAGACGGGAGGATGCATCGAGGGGGAGAAGGGAGATGGGAGGGGGAGTGATGGGAGATGGTTCATATTTCCATTTATTTGGTATAACCCTGTGAGCCATTCGGCTCTTGAATCCGGTGCAACCGCAACAAACAAAAAACATGAACAAGAAAACATCTTAAAGTGACTGTGTGTGACTGTGCAAACAGAAAATACAGGAGAAACAAAACATCAAAATATTCCTGAAATAGCACCGTACACCAACGCTGTGTGCAAAAATCCCAGTGGGATGCAAGTCAAATAACAACAACAACAACCACAAGACAACTAAGATTAAGGCCATAAGTCTAACTCCGTACTACAATAAACAAAGACATGGCCAAACCAAAAATGTTTTTCTAAAAGATTAGAGGGGAAGGGAGATGAGAGAGGAGGGGGGTGAGAGGGGGAGGTGGAGTTGAGAGGGAAAATGGGAAGGGGTGGGGAGAGTGGAGATAGAGGGAGAGAGGGGAGATGAAGAGATAGGAGGGAGGGAGGGAGGGGGAGATGGGAGGGACAGGGGTTGAGGGGTGGACGTCGGCGAGAGGCAGACGGGAGGGAGAGGGCCTGTGGTGTTTCCGCGGGGGTCCATGAACGTGGTGGGGGGGGGGGGGGTGAGGGGGGGGGACAGGGGGGGGGGCTTGCGACTCAGATTTAAAATCCCTGTTGGGGGGAGGGGAGCGTGAGTGTGATGGTGGGGAGTGGTGACGCAACGGTTAGCGCTGCGATTCGCTACGAACGCGGCGAAACCGAGTTCGATTCCCGCTCACGGTCAACACCGGTGGCGATTATCTGAACCGGTCCTAGGCCTCCTCCTCTAGGTCGACTTGGCCTCAAATGAGTACCTGGTGCGGTGTGTAAACATCGTCACTGGGGGAGACAAAGGCGGCCGGGCGTGGTCGCTGGCCATCCACCCCCACGTGTGCTGTGCCGGCCTTCATAGGTGCTAGTCGCTTACAGCACTTGCCCCTACAGTCTGTTAAGGCTATATGGGGGATCTTTGTGTAGTCTGTTAAAGGTTATACGGGGGGGGAGGATGTTGTGTGTTGTATTTTTGTGCGTGTGTGTTATTGTGGGGAGCGGTAGTGTAGCGGTTAGAGCACTGCGCTACGAACCCGGCCACCCGAGTTCGATTCCCGCTCTACGACCAACACCAGTGACGATTATCCGAACCGGTCCTGGGGCCTCCCCTAGGTCGACTGAGCCTCAATTGAGT